ATTTAACCTTTTTGTACTTTGAAGTCTTCTGGTTGGCCCTGGAGACCCAGGTCAAAGGACATGGCCTCACCTTGCAGAGACGGTGACTAATTAGGCTTATTTGGTACGTTGGATTATTCAGGAAACATCAGATAATAAATTGATGCTAAATCTTTAAGGTATACATGCATGGACACAAGTGTCTGATGGCCTGGTATGGTGCTATCACCCATCCCTGTTATCCTGAAACGCTGGATGCAATACAAATAACTTACAAGCCGGGCATGGGGGCACACACCTGTAATCTCAGCACTTAGGAGGCTGAGGCAGGAGGATCACTGTGAGTTCAAGGCCAGCCTGGGCTACATAGTGAGTTCAAGGCCAGCCTGAACTGTATAGTGAGACCCAGTCTCCAAAAAAAAAAAAAAACAAACAATTTCTTTGTCAATTGCTGAACTCCTATTGACATTTTAATCATTCCAAGTTGATGTTTTTCTGGTACTGGGAATTAAATGCAGGACTTTGCATAAACTGGACAAGCACTCGAGTACTGAACTGTATCAGCCATTTTTATTTTTGTTTTGAGAGAGTGTTTCCCTAAATTGTCCAGGCTGGCCTCAAACGTGCCATCTTCCCGCCACAGCCTCCTGAGTAGTTGGAATTACAGTTATGCATCACTTTGCCCAGCTTCAAATCTTTGTCATTCAGTCTGATTCTTCTCTGGAAGGATTTGCAACCAGGTTTGTGGAAAAGATGCTACCAAGCACTCTTAGATAGATCGATGACAATGTTAAGATCAAGGGACTAGGCAGAAATTCCCAGAATGTCAATGAAGAAACAGATAGGCTTGTGAAATCCCTAACAAAGATCAAGCAACAAGGGGGTTGTGGGTGATGCCTACTAGTAGAGCACTTGCCTAGCATGCATGAGGCCTGGGTTTGATCCCTAGCACCACAAAAGAAAAAGGAAAAACAGAGAGAATTCAAACAAGAAATAATTATAGGAAACTGAACTAATAAATTTATGGGATATTTATATATATGATATATGATATATGAAGATATATATTTTTCTCCTTCTTTGGCTCCTCCTAAATTCAAAACCTATTTATGAGTATCTTTATTTTTATGGCATCATAATGATTTGAATAAACTGAATGAGAATTTGCTGTCTTTCTAACAGGATACAACTGGAAACACTGTCATATTCATACAGAATGTTTGGCTTCCAGGACCCCAGCCTTACAGTTAGAGAATCAAAGTCATCCCTCAGTGTTACCAGGTTTGGGGTGCTAGAGCCTCTTAAAGGTGGTTTCCAGGTTCTTTCTCTCCCCAACAAAACACTGGCCAAGAGAAGTAAAAGCAGTAGCAAGCTTTTACATTTATTAAAAGAAGGAAAAGAAACAGGCTCTGCAGAGTGAATTTGGCCAAGTAAAAGTAGGAAAGAAGTATACCCTGCAAGCCGGGCATGGTGGCACTTGCCTCAGGAGGCTGAGGCAGGAGAATCACTGAGAGTTTGAGACCAGCCTGGGCTATAAAGTGAGCTCAAGTCCAGCCTGAACTGCAAGATCCTGTCTCCAAAAGACAAAAAAAAAAGAAAAAAGAAAAAGAAGTACACCCTCCAGCGTGAGGGTGGACCACTGTGAAGGAACACAGTAATAAGTGCTCAGTGGCAACTGTCCTCTTTGTAACTCCCACTCCTGAGGCTGGCATCAGGTCTCAACCATCCTATCAGAAACCTGCTCGGGCTCTTGGGAAAAGTCCATGTACAGGGCTTTGGGAACTGTTCTGCATCCCTGGCCTGGGATTTTGTAATTAACAGGTTAGATCTACTTTCCCACCTAGTCTTAGCCAAGCCCTAGCCTCCTGCCTCACAGGCAGGCCCCAGAGCTCACAAGACCATAGGTGGGCTCTCAGGTCAGCCTCAGTGTGGCTTGCTACCTGTAAAAGGCTTCCAAATCCAAGGTTACTACAGCGGTAGCTCGATTCACAAACTTAATTTGTTCTATTATTGCAGAGAATATGGTCACGGTCATGTTCATCACCTGATGTGGAGGTCCAGAACAGAAGCAAAATTTTGCCAAGTGCTGCTGTTTGGGAGCTGAATTGTTCCCCAAAAAAGCGTTCCTGAACTGAGGTCTACTGTATAGGGTAAATCTGTTTTTCTTTAGTTGCCTCTGATAAAGATTGCGACTATAGAGACAATAGTTGTTAAAGAAAAGCTGTTATGGTTTAGATCTAAAATGTCCTCCAAAGCCTCACATGATCACAGGTAGGGCTTTCAAAAGGTGGTTGGATAAGGGGGCTCTGTACTCATCAGTGAGTCCAGCCAAGGATGAGTTCACAGCTGAATGTGCTGTGAGGAGGTGGGGCCTGCTTAGAGTGGTCACTGGGAGTGACCTGCAAGGGTGTGTTCTTGTCCCTGTCTCCCTCTTCTCTCTCTGCTTCTTGGCTGCATGGGGTAAGCCGCTGTCTTCTGCCAGGCCCTTTAGCTATGATATTTCTGCCTTGGAACCACCAGCCATGAACTGACTCCTCTGAAACCAGGTACCAGGTAACCCTCTCCATCCAGTGGAGGCTCCAGGTGTTTGGGCCCAGTAATGAGAAAGCTGATTAGTGCAAACCATAATACACCTGTCATTTGATCATGGCTCTGTGCATTGCTTTCAAGGTTTTTATCATCTACCTATAGACTGGGTTGGGTCCCAAAGTCTTCCAGGATCCCTCAATCAGTGAAATTCTTAAGAGCAGGAACTGTCCTTCCTAAAGCCCATAAGCAGAAGCTGCACAACTTGACATACACTTCAGGGAACAAGTCATGGGCTGCACAGAAAGTCACCGTACTTCCCAGTGCCATGACTGGAGAAGTTGAAACTGCAAATCTGGATGAGAAACTGACATCAGAATAAGAGTGCAGATTATGATGAGACTCTTGCTCTCTCGACACTTCTCTCACTGATGCCCATCTGCAGCACATGCCCATGCTGTGGTTAAAGCCCTATAGTCAACAGATGCTACAGGCAACAAAGATAGGCTCTGACCTATGGGACCCTTTATCTACCAGGTGGCCAGCAACACCGCTAATGCAAGTTTTTGTCTGAAGTATAACCATGGGCCTTTTTTATAACACTCTCTTACTTCAACATAGTCATGTGCTCTCAAATGATAAAAGTACTCTAGATTGGCCTGAGGACATAGTTCAGTAAAACAGCACTTACCTAGCATCTGTGAAGTCCTGCATTCAATCCCCAGCACCATAACGAAAACAACAAAGTAGTTAGTAGTTGATCAGTATTGCATAGCTGTAATCCCAGTTACTCAAGAGGCTGAGGCAGCAAGATTATGAATTCATGGCCAGCCTATGGAACCTAATAAGGCTGTTTTAAAATAAAACAATAAAACCAAAAGGGCTAAGTTTGTAGCTCAGTGGTATGGCACTTGCTTATCTTGTGCAAGACCCTGGGTTCCACCCCAAGCAACACACACACACACACACACACACACACACATACCCTCTATCTATTGGTTAAATAAGAAAATATCTGTGCATTGCTAGTATACATGCTACATCTGAATAAATCCCCCTGAGGAAACTGAGACCCAATTGTGTACAGGACAGGTCCAGTGATGACAGCAGTTGTCACCCACTTCCTCTTGGTCATTTGATTTAGGCAGTCACTTTAAGCCTAGGTTCTTAGTTCTAAACTATTATGCAAACTTGACTTGTTTTGCTCTTGTTGGTTTTGCTTCCCTTTTTAAACCCTGTACCAGTTGCGTATCGGAATTACACAGAGGTACAACTCTTCATGAAATAATGCTGGTGCCAGTGCTTCGAGATGATACTGTCACCACAGAACAGACAGAATGAATAGTGGATGTAACAAACAACGGACTCCAGGCAAACAGCCAAGAACCACTCTTTCCCGACATCCTTGTTGCTCAAATGTGGCTAAAAGGGTTTGGATACTGACACCTAGCAGCCACTAGTTTGCCCCACAGTGAGACCAAAAGAAGCCAACAACAGGCACAAGTCCATCCTAGCAATAAGGGACAACCAAACCTAACTACAAGGTGGCTTATCAGCAATGTTTTCAAAGAAATGGTCTTGATGGAAAGGGGGAAATAGGAAAGCTGTCAGGATCAAGACAGAATCACTCCTGCCAGCCCTGACATAAATAAATAAAGCAGGGAGGTTCTCAAGGAGGGGCACTCACAGACGATTGCTTGACCATGACTATCAACAACCTCAACTCCCAACCCTGAAAAATGCCTGACTTGTTGATGGCTTTTTTCAGCTTGGAGATTTCACATAAGGATCTGTATTCCCAGCTTCTCTCTAAAAAGTCAGGAGACTTGTATCTTACGCTGCCTCCCCTGCCACGGGGCACTGTGCTCTGCACAGGTGTCCTGGATATGCCATCCCTCCATTGTGCCTCACAATCCTGCCCAGCCTCCACCCACCTCCGCCAGTCACCCCACAGTCCACGGCCATGTCAGGACCCTGGCCTCACTCGAGGATTCACCCCACTGGTGTAAAGTGTTGAGAGCCGCAGAAGGTGGAAAGTAATTACATGTGCAGGACGAAGCCAGAACAAGAACACGGGAGCTCCAAGAACATGGGAGCTCCCCAAAGCATGTAAACAAGCCATTGTAGCTTGTTAACTGATTGCTGGACAGCAAGATGAAAATTAACCAACCCCTTGGTATAAATAAACGCTCTATTGTTCTTGAGTAGTTTCCCTTCTCCGATGACAGAGAGGACCTCCACCTGATCCCAGCTTTTGTCTCTTGTCCATTTTTTTCTCATTCTTGCTGCTGTTCCTTCCCGGGATACAGCAAGAACCCAATGGATCCCGACACAGAAGGAACACTTTCCTTCACTGGTCCATCCTTAATGGGCTGCAGCCTGCGATCTAGAACTGAGTCCAACCAACCTCTCAGGGCACTGGCCCTTGGGCTGGCCCTGATCCCACCACCATCACAGAGGAGGATTGAAAATGCCCCCAAGAAAAGGAGTTTAAGTCACATTCCATGTCCCCAGTTTTATTGACTCCACAGTACAGCAGCATTTTAAACACTCCTGCCTAATGGATAATTTGAACAGATGGTTTCCAGAATTCTCTACCACAAACAACAGGCTTTTGTACATTGTAGTAAAGAGCCCCAAATTTACCTCCAAAATGATGATAACAGTTTAAATCCCACCAACCTGGAAGGAAAAACAAGGCGACATTAAAATGCCATTGTTACTTCAACTGTACAGCTGCTGTGCAGCCGGGAGCAGCGCTGCACATGTGGCTAGGCACAGGCAGGGCTGTGGGCACAGTGGCCACTGCCCGTCCCCTCCTCACAGTCACCTGCTCTGTTTATGGGCCACGGTGCTTCCCTACTCTGGGTTCTCACACCCACCCACGCTCTCTGAGGGAGCGGCAGACCTCGCCTAGTGCTCACACGGGAACTTGTGCTGAGAAGCTCATCTCTCCTCAGCGTGTGGCAATTTTCCCCATTCTTGGCTTGACTGAGATTCCTCCCTCTCATCTTTTCCCTTGGCGAGGATTCCCATTATTTGTCCATGGGCTCATCTCGGATATGACTTCCACCCCTACGTCCCCCAGGGATTTTCCCCCACACCTTCCTCTGGGCTGAGCCAGGTGACCCTATGCATAGTGTGAGGTCCTTGGCTCTCGGCAAGCGCCCATCTTCTTCACTGTCTCTATTCGGGTTTGGTTTGAAGTCATTGTATCCATGTTCAAATATTCTCTCCTATTCTCAAATTCACTGTAACATCTCTAATTGTACTGGAAAGGTTCTTAAACTGTCCCAGGGGCTCCTTGTTCTGATTGCTTGGACATCCCCCCTTTCTGTGAAATGCTGATTCCCCTGAAAAACAGGGACCACCTGGACATGCCCCACCCACAGCAGGTATGTGGGGGATGCGGGGTCTTACGGGCTGAGGCCCTGGATGACAGAAGGAACCCCCTCCCAGGCAAACAGGCTCTGGCTGAGCCTCTGGGCTCTGCATGTGAGTGCCTACATTTCCTGGGTGCTCCAGGTACCCCACTTTTCCCAGGGTAGGTGTGTGACCCCACTTTACCCATGGGCTCCAGGCAGCAGGGACCTTGTCCTTGTCCTGCGAGGCAGGGGCTTCAGGTCCTCTTTGTGGATAATCAAGGAAAGGGACCCCTCCTCCAACACGGTCTCTAGACAACCAAGGCCAAGCAGACCATTCCCAGCTTCCTGGTCTTATGAGGTGTCCTCTTGCCCGCACTCCTCAGGCCAGTGGTAGAGGGGAATGTGGAGCCCCTTCAACCTGGGCTCGAGCTGAACCCTTTGTCGTGGGAGCAGCTTGGCGTTGTCTCTCAAGCTCAACCGTTCTCAGAAACAAACCGCTCACCATGCTGCCAACCCCAGGCCCAGCTCTGAGGGAGGTCACAGGCTCATCCCCGGGAACCAGTGCCACTTCGGGGCAAGGAAGTTCAATGAGCTGCTCTGAGGTTCTTTGGGACCGCAGCCCAGTCTGCCTCGGTTGGGGAGGGCACGGGTCTCCTGGAAGGACTCCTCACCTCGGGCCGTGTGGACTGTGCCCTGAGTGTGTCGGCCTGAGGGTCTGCAGCTCTCCCTCTTGCAGTGGTGGCCTGGGTCTCCAGGAAAGGCTGCAGAGGGGCGGCGCCTGAGGGCTCTAGTGCTCCAGGAAGGGTATCCTTTTGGGGGGCTTCTGGGGGAACTGCAGCGAGTAGAGGCGGGCCATGTACTGGACCTCAGGCGTCACCATCCTCTGGCACAGCTGCAGCGTGGCTTTGTCCAAGCCCGGTCGCAGGACATAGCCCAGGATGTCTGCGTCACCGGACTGGTAGGGGCGCAGCTGCGGGTCTGCAATGCTCGCCCCGCTGCGAGGCAGCCGGTCCTGCAGACACAGGGTCTGGAGCTTCTGGCGGCGCGCGCGCAGCTGCTCCACCTCGGCACGCAGGCGGCGCGGGCCCAGCTCAGCGCGTACGCGCGCCCAGAAGGTGCGGTTGAAATGCAGGTACAGGCGCCAGTCCAGCGCGCTCCAGCTCAAAGCGCGCTCCCGGCCCAGGGGCGACAGGCGCGCCACGCTGCGCGGGCTGCGCGCGTTCAGCCGGAAGGCGACCACGTCGTCCAGCCGCCAGCGCAGGCGGCGCCGCAGCAGCACCATGGACTCATCGAAGTGCTCGGCGATGAGCACCAGCTGGAAGCGCCGCTCCACCTCCGCCAGGCGCGCGCGCACGTAGGCGTCCTCGGCCGGCGCGTCGCCGTCAAAGCCCAGGTCAAACCACATACTGTTGCGCGCGTACGCGTTCCTCAGCCCCGCACTGGCATTGTAGAAGCGGTGCGGCGCCTGCAAGAAGGCGTCCAGGCTGCTCGCGGCGCGGAAAGCGGGTGCAAAGTCCTTGTAGTAGGTGAAGGAGGACTCGAGCTGGGTGACCGGGTGCCGCAGGATGGAGAAGTAGAAGGTGCCCTTGGGCATGACCTTCTGCACCTGCTGAGACAGAGCGGGAGGTGCTGCGGGCTCGCGGAGGTGACAGCGTGGGAACACAGAGCCTGCCCTCCTGACACCCGCGTGCCCAGGGGCCACCAGCCAGCCAGCCGCTCTGCCACAGGGAGGCCAGGCGCGCCCCGCCACCCGTCTGCTGGCCAGCCTGCTTCCTGTGTGGGGTCTGGGTTCCCCTCTCTCTCCTGTGCCCCATGCGGATCCCCGTGTCACCCACTGGAGCAACAAGCCAGGAGACAGCTGGGCCACTTGTGTCCTCCAGCACGGGCACATGCCGCCCTCTCGCCATTGCCTCTGCCCACCCGGCCCTAGCCAGTCCAGGCCACCGTGTTGCCCACCACCCAGAAGACCTGTGTTCTGGGCTGCACCAGTGTTGAGCCACACCTTTCTCCACCCTCACGCACAGTTCCTCTGGGAAGGAAAATCAGGGGCGCCTCTGGGAGGAGCTGGGCCCTCAGCAGAGACCCAAATGCCCTAGAGGGACTTGTGTGAGGCCCATCCTCACCAGAGTGCTGTGCACCATGATCCAGAGCAGAAAGGGCTGCAGGCAAAGGAACTGGAGGGGGCTGTAGGTGCCAGGCAGACAACCGAAGGCTGCTGGATCTCATTCCAAGAGCAACTGCAAGCCCCTTGCAGCTTGGGGCTCAGAACCCTGCTCAGTTTTCTGGACTCTGTCCCCACTCCCCACCTCACCCCACCCCCGTAGTCCCCACCTTCCCCAGCCCTAGGGCCCCACCTCAGGCAGGTTGAACCGCAGGTGGTTGCACATGATGTTGAATTGTCGGGGAGGCCCAGGGTGAGGCCCAGCCTGCAGGGCGCCCTCCACATATCTCGCCACGAAGAGCCAGGGATAACCCAGGTGGATGTTGGGACCCGAAGGCAGCGCCACGGACAGGTTGTGCATCTCAGCAAAGCGGTAGAGTATGTTGAGCACTGTGCTGCTAGCTGTTTTGTGCGTCTTGAGGAACATGATGTTGGTGACAGGTGGCCCCTGCACCTCAGCCCTGAGCTGGCTGGAGGGAGGACCCAGGAAGGCTCAGCCCTGGCAGCGTGCCCTCCACAGAACCCCGCCCTGACGGCCCTCGTGTCCACACCCTCAACCTCAGTCCCCAACCCTAGCCCCATCACTGTGACCCTTGTCTGCAGCCCCTTTCACCCTGTAGCCAGGGGACCCACTGCAACAGAAGAGTTCCCACCCAGGCTGTAGGCTCAGCACTAACTCAAGCACCCCTCACCCTTGCAGCCTGCTTCCTGGCATTCAGGGTACCTGTGTAGCACTGGCCCAGTGACATCAGCCACACACCCATCATTCCCTGGCTGACCCCAAACCTTCACCCTGGGACAAAGAAGGGCCCTAAAGTAAAACCAGCCTGACACAGGGCCAGAGGGGGCAGGTGCTAGGCCCTCCCTGCCCTAGTGCCCAGAGGGCAGGGTCCAGAGCCCTTCACTGAGCTGGGAACCAGCGGATGGATAGAGACTCGTGCAGAGTTGGGGCTTCTTGCCAGAAGCTGTACCACCAGTTGGGGAAGATTACTGGGGGTACACAGGCAGTAAGAGGGCACAGATGTGACCTTCACCCTCCCAGACTCCACCCTGGGGGCCAGGCCACCTCTTCAGGGGGCCCTGGACACTAATAGATCCCCACAGGAAGGCCTCTTGGCCTCTCCGTGAGGGGAGACAGAAACTCAGTGGGGACATGTGACCTGCCACGGGCTGCCAGCAGGTGCCAGTGCCCCAGGGTGGGCAGGATGAGGTCCACACCCCCAAAGCCATGCCACCAGAGTTGCTGAGTTGGAGAATCTTCCTGGGACCCCACAGGGACCCCACAATGGACTCACGGCTGGAACAGCTTGACATGCACATGCAGGAGGCCAACCAGCAGGAGCACAGCCAGCATCAAAAGTAGGATGGTCCGGAGGGACCTATGGGTGGAGCTCAGTGTCACGAAGGCCCACACAGCCCTCCCTCACCCCGGCCCTCTCCCTGTCACACCAACACACCCCAGGTTCAGGCTCAGCCCACTCTGCCCAGGACTAGCAGCACAAGGAACAAGGGCCAGCTGGACAGGCAGAGACACAGGCCAAGGAAAAGCATGAAGGCCCTGGACATCATAACTGCACAGAATGCCAAAACCCACCATAGGGCAACAACTGATAGACAGCATGTGGGAGTGGCCCTGGGAGGTCACAGGGGCTGGAGGAAGTCACAGTATTGAACCCAGTGGAGGATTGGCATCCTGCCAAGGGACACAGTTTGTGTCTTCTCCTACTTCACCCTATCCCAGAAGGACACAGGTGCTAGCCTGACCCTAACCCTGCTAGCAGCTGGCTGACTGACAGTGGACAGAAGGAAGTGTCAGACAGAGTGGGGCACACACAGCTACCCAGGATAGGGAAGCAGCAAGCGGGGGGGAGGGGTGAGTACCTTGCTGACTAGGACAGGGCCTCACATTCCTAATGCAAGGGGCTTGCATTTAGGCAAAAGTCCCACAGAAGATTCCTGATCTGGGTGCTGGTGTGCTCCTGGGCCTTCTCGAGCCAGAGCTGGGCGATGAGTGTGGGAGAGTCACCCACAAGGCCACAGCTTTATCAGTTCCCTCCTGTCCCATCTGCTCTCCTGTCTTCCATATCAAGAAGGCAGGTCTCAAAAATGTAGGAGATGGTAGGATGAGGAGGTCCATAAGTGCATGCAGGACAGGTCAGAACCCCAGTGCAGCACCCCCATCCCACCCTGCAAGGCTCTCCTCTAGCCACACTTCCATCCTGCAGGCCTGACCCCTCACCTCCACACTTACCCCAAGTCCTCCAGACACAGCTCCAAGCAGCCTGGAGGAGGCCCCCTGAGCCATGGTGAACCCAAGGGGCCTTTGTGGGCATCACAACTGCAGTGGACAAAAGCTCTGTGGACACTCAGGTCCAAGACTGGCAGGGACAAATGGAGAAGAGCAAGTGGCCAGCGGTGACAGTCAGGGTCCCTACTGGAGGTGCCACCTCTGAGTGAGAGGGGATGGCTCCTCTCCACCCCTACAGGGCCACCCTGAGTCAGGTCCCAAGTCACTGAGGGGCCATGGCTGTTGGACAGTAGCTCCTGGGAAGGTACCTGTAGAGCCTGTACCTGAGAGGGACAGGGTGTTTCAAAGCCTCATATAGTTAGGGTTTAATCCACCTGATAAGAGCTCTGCGGGACTTACCTGTCATTTACTTGGTCCTCACTTTGTTCCACATAAAGCCCTGCCTCAAACATGCACACTGTTACCGCCCAGCTCAGGCTCATTAAACCCAACACACACTGGCCACCAGTACCCCATCAAGAGCCACCCCCACAAAAAAAAACCAAAAGATTAGGGCCGGGGATATAGCTCAGCAGCACAAGCGCCTGCCTGGCAAGTGCAAGGTCCTGAGTTCAATTCCCTCTACCAAAAAAAAAAAAAAAAAAAAAAACAAAAAAAAAAAAAAAAAAAAAAAAAAGAGCCAACCCAGGCAGGAGCAATCCTGAGACCCCATATCCGGGCAGACATGGAGGATGTGCCCAGCTGGCCACCTGGCCCTATTCCAGCCACACACACCACCCTGCAAACCCATTTCCTGCCTGAGGAGGAGATACAAGAGCCACAACCCAGAGCCCTGCCCACTGCCATGGCCAGCCTGGTCTGCTCTCGTCTATAGAAGGACAAACACAATGTTTAAATTCTTAAAAATAAATAGCAATTCCTGGGTGCAAAAATGGAAAGAAAGTCTCCCTATAGAACATAGACTTAAGCATCTCTTGACTGTGAATCCTCCCTTAAGACAGAGATGAACCTCTTGAACATTTAACAAGCTTGCAGCCACTATCCTGACTCTGAACAGCAGGCAGGAAGGTGACCAGCTGACACTTGGCTGGCTCTCAGTGCAAGCGGCTTCCTGCTGTAAAGACAGCAGACATTTCAGACTTTTCTTTTTTTTTTTTGTGGTGCCAGGAATCAAACTCAGGACCTTGCACTTGCCAGGCAGGTGCTGTAACTGCTGAGCTAGCAGACTCCCTGGCCTAGCAGACATTTCTTCTCCATGGTAAGGCCAAGAAGCTCACACAGGGGGCTGCTCAGCCTCCCGGAGGACCCAGGATGAACTTAAGTGGTGCTGTTCAGCTTCCTACCTGGGCACTGTGGCTGCCCTTCTTGGGAGCATGGGTGTCATGGGCCCACTTGCCAGGCCTTCTGAGTTCCCCTGCATGGCCACTGTGCCAATCCAGACAACCCCATGCCCTCATCCATTTTCACCCTGAGAGGGAATTACCATTTATTCTAAAATTTTAAATTTGTATTGCCTCCATCAAAGAAGGCCCAGCCCAGCCAGCCAGCAGAGGTGGCAGCCCCCTGACATGCACTGAAGCCCTCAGCCCACCGTGGCCTCCAGGACCTGTGGCTTGTCCAAAATGACTCGCAGGGAATGCTCAGCTCTATCTGCCTACTGGTGTTGAGGGGCAGCTGCCACAGCCATTTCTACCCTACAGCCCCTTCCTCGCAGTGAGCAGCCAGTGCAGGGGACAAAGATGCTGGCCCAGGACCTACAACCCTACCCATCCTGGAGCTTCTCATAGCCTGCCAGGCCGAGAGGCACAGGAGGAGTAGAAGCCCTGCTGCTCACAGGAAAGAAGCCCCCATGCCGGTCGGGGTGCTCACGCTGTCTCCCCAGTTCTGTTGGATGCCCTGCCTGAGCCCTAGCCTAGGCTCTAAGGAGAGACAGCCATCCAGGCATCCCCAGCTGATCCATCCCCAGTGGTTACCACAACACAGCAGCAGGCAGCTCAAGCCTCCACACACAGGCTCCCAGAGGACCCACTCAGGGCCACCCAGGACCCAGAGCCTGCACCCCTGGCCAGTAACTAAGGAGAGGTGGACGGCCCTATCTCAGGGACTGCCTGAGTCACATCAAAGATCTACAGGGGTGGGGGTGGAACTGGTGGTTCCACAGACATCTAGAATGTTCTGTCTGAGCACCTCTTTCTAGATCTTTCTTTCAGTAGGGGTTTAGCCACTAAAGGATGGGAAAACCAGGCACTTCCTGGGCTCTGTGGCCCTACTATGGGCTCTGCACCACATACCTTTCCCCACGAGGACCTTGCACCCCAGGGCATGGGGTCACCTAGCTCTGAACACAAACCACTGACAGGTGGGGTGACATCCCAGGACATGCCAGCATACCACCCTCTTGGGGACAGGTCACCAGGCTCCATGGACACACGGTGACTCCTATAGTCAGAGTTGCTCCCCTCCTAGGCCCAATAGCAGGTGAGAACCTGATCTGTCTGGGAGACGCTGACCTCTCAGTGTGGGCTCTCCCGAGCAGGAAGGTAGCCTCTGCCCTCCAAGGGGCTCTTCTAGGCCCCTATCCCACCTAGACATGGCCACCACTATGGGTACCAGCAAGCTGGCCAGGCTTCCATACTCTACTACACAGCCCCAAAGCCACAGTGCATCCCAGGGCCACAGAGCTCTGTCCCTTGGTGAGACTCCAGAAAGGCAGGTTTCAGGATGCCCCACTGCCACAGGCTGGGGTCCTAGGCAGAAAGAGAGCCTACTGGGGATGCCTCCAAGCTGAGGTCACCATGACCTGCTGGTGGCTGAGAGTTTGTGCCTGAGGCATCACAGCCAGGAGCCCTGGCAGGCAGGGCCCTGATCGGCACTTTGGAGCCTAGGGGAATCCGGGCATAGGGCCTGTGCCCCCTGGTATCCTTCCTAGCAGACTGGATTTACTGAAGTCAGTGAACAGAACTGGACCCCACACAGACAGGTGGTCCCTCATGTCCACTCCAGGCAACTCCTCCAACTGCCCAGGGCTACAGATGCCCCTGCCTGACTTGAGGCCCACCCTATCCATGTGTCCCCACAGCTATCACTCCTTGCTTACTAACTGACCAAATGCCCTGGGCCTAGAGCCAAGCCTCCTGCATGTGCAGAGTTCCGGGAAAGTGGACAGGGGCTCACTGGCCAGTGCTGTGCAGGGCCAGGAAATGACTCAGCATAGCTGGGAGGTGGAGGCACCTTGCACTGAGCCCCATGAGCTCCAGGAGCCCAGGGCACCCAGAGCCGCCAAGGCCAAAGACATTCTTATCAGGATATAAACTCCAGCAGCCACTGCAGGCATCCTACAGCAGCAAGGCCAGGATCCCAGACCAGTGTCCAGGGCTCCCCAGAGCACCCCACCCCCTCAGGCTGCACAAGAGCTTGGACCTTTCTCAGGAAAGGCCACACCTGGCTGCAGGAGGCCCAGCTGCCCACTACCATTACTGCTACCGAGGTAAAAACAAGATATGGCAGCAGCCTCCTGGGTGTGGGGGGCAGGGACCAAAGGCCCTGAGCTGGAGGGGATCTAGGTACCCCAGGCAAGTAGCCTCCACAAGTCACAACAGCAAAATTGGCTACAGTCAGGATATAGGCAGAGGTGGAGACTCTTCCCTACAGGAACCCCGAAAACACCACAGCAAGGTAGACTGCAAGGTATCTAAAGACCACACCTGCCTCCCTCCAGCCTGGACAGAAAGAAAACCCAACTTTCCCTGTTCCTGGGGGAGGTACACACCATCGGTTACCCCTAGAAGTGGGAACAGGCACCCTAACCCCTCCAGGCCCCATTCCCTGTTCCCAAACATCCTAAAATGCACAGAAGTGTGAGGGACTCTAGCCCCAGACTGTCCTCTTAAGCACAGGTCTAGCCTTGGGACAGAGACCCTGCCCAGACCCCAGGCCACCTGAACCCCATGGGTCCCTGGGCCCCAGGTACCCACAACAACCCAAGCCCAGGAAGGACAGGGAAGGGTTTCTCTGCCATCTGAAATGAAACCAAAAGAGGCCAAATTTAAAGAAGACTTAGAGTTAAAATCCCAATCCAAGCAGACTTCCAAGACATATCCTCCTTTCCCAGCTTCTCAGGACTCCCAGGGAGCAAAGCACCTTGGTCCACTGTCACCCTGCACCCCACCTCACCTCTGAGAGCTGCCCAGCAGGGACAGCATGCTGGCTTGGGACGCTAGCAGTGCCACTGGCAGGCGAGGTCTGAGAGCCCCAGGTCTCACCACCCAGGCTGCCCCAGTTCTCGGCTGCCAGGGGCGGGGCAGAGGCACCAGGTGGGGTGTGACCATGATGGTCAAATGTCATCTTACATCCTAAGAAACCCACCTGCTGGCTCAGATGTGGGCCACACCCTCACCCCTCACCTCAAAGGGCTTAACTGTTCCATTCTTAGGAAGGGCTGGGCCGCTTCCTGGGCTGGAATGGGAGGCTAGGCTCCTCACTGGGCCTCTTCTCCATCCCCAGGCAGGCCATGGCAGGTGGGCCAGGTATCAAGAAGGACCAGACCCATCTCACCCACCCACCCACCCTCGGATCCATCCATCCATGGACATGCCCTGGTGGGTACGGAAAGACCGGCAAAGCTCCCTTCCCACAGCTGAAAGGAGATGCAGGGTCCTCATCTCTGTGCACTGCAGCCAGGGGTCAGCTGCAGAGCTGACAGTTGCTGGACAAATGAGGAAGGGACAGGCCCAAATCCAGGTGTTTCCGCTGCTTTAAAAAAAATTTTTTTTTTTTGTCTTTTTGAGACAGGGTCTCACTATGCAGTTCAGGCTAGCCTCAAACTTACTTGGTAGCCCAGGCTGCCCTCGAATTCGTGATCCTCCTGCCTCAGCTCCAGGTTCTGACTCTGCCATTGTGCCTGACACTAACAGACTCGTCTTAAAGGCCTGGATAATGCAGTTCTTTGCTCTTGTATTTTCTTGGTGATCTGGAATCATGCTGTGTAACTAGACACTTCCGCATGCCCTCCTGGTCGCTGTCCTCGGTGGGGTGACAACACCCAGCTTCCGGCACATCCACCATCTGTGACGTTCAGGCTCCTTTCATCTGGTTGTCGTCCAGGGGCTAACCAGGTCTCCCACATGCTCACTGTCACACGCAAAGTGCCCTGTGGCTGCTGCAAGTGGCCTAGAAGCAAAGACTTTGAGAAGACAATTTCCGGTATTTCATGTTATCTTTACAAGGTTTTTGGTTACTTAGGAATATTGAGTCTTAAAAGAGTTATATATTTGAGTCTAGGTTGTTTTGTTTTTTAACATCTATTTGCTTTAAGTCTTTTAATCCCTTTATAGCCCTATAAAGTAATTACTTCTAACTCTGCTTAAATGATTAACTATTTTATTCCACAGCTATTTGTGACCATAATTTAGACTATCTGTTTTAACCTTTCAACGTCTGGCAGACTTCCTTGAGCTCAGAGTTCTAGATTTAACCTCTTTGTACTTTGAAGTCTTCTGGTTGGCCCTGGAGACCCAGGTCAAAGGACGTGGCCTCACCTTGCAGAGACGGTGACTAATTAGGCTTATTTGGTATGTTGGATTATTCAGGAAACATCAGATAATAAATTGATGCTCAATCTTTAAGGTATACATGCATGGACACAAGTGTCTGATGGCCTGGTATGGTGCTATCACCCATCCCTGTTATCCTGAAACGCTGGATGCAATACAAATAACTTACAAGCCGGGCATGGGGGCACACACCTGTAATCTCAGCACTTAGGAGGCTGAGGCAGGAGGATCACTGTGAGTTCAAGGCCAGCCTGGGCTACAAAGTGAGTTCAAGGCATGCTTGAACTGTATAGTGAGACCCAGTCCCAAAAAAAAAAAAAAAAACAAAACAATTTCTTTGTCAATTGCTGAACTCCTATTGACATTTTAATCATTCCAAGTTGATGTTTTTCTGGTACTGGGAATTGAATGCAGGACTTTGCATAAACTGGGCAAGCACTCGAGTACTGAACTGTATCAGCCCTTTTTATTTTTGTTTTGAGAGAGTGTTTCCCTAAATTGTCCAGGCTGGCCTCAAACGTGCCATCTTCCTGCCTCAGCCTCCTTTTGGTTTCTTGAGTTACTGTCTTCCCCAGCTGCTACCTCAGCTGGGTGGGGCTGTGGCCTGCATACCCTCTGAATCCTGCTCCAGGTCACAGCACTGCCTTCCTCTAGCTGGCAGGACACTTGTCTCTGAGCCTCACTGTTCCTGGGCTGCCTGACACTGGGCCACCACTCTACACTGCAAAGTCCCCTCCCACCTGTCCTCAGCAGCACAGAGCACTGGCTCATACCTTCTGCCCAGGTCCCACACATTGCTCAGAATCCAGGAACCAAGACTTCAACTTGGGAAGGAGACACTGGTTTCAGGCCCTCACGGAGAATGCCTGTCTGAACCATGCACTGGCTGAGGTATGGGAGTTGCTTAGGGGACATATGATGGACACTCTTGTTTCTGGCTGAGCCTGTGTGCTGGGCAGCCTCCCAAGTAGTTGGAATTACAGTTATGCATCACTTTGCCCAGCTTCAAATCTTTGTCATTCAGTCTGATTCTTCTCTGGAAGGATTTGCACTCAGGTTTGTAGAAAAGACGCTACCAAGCACTCTTGGATAGATCGATGACAATCTTAAGATCAAGGGACTAAGCAGAAATTCCTAGAATGTCAATGAAGAAACAGATAGGCTTGTGAAGTCCCTAACAAAGATCAATCAACAAGGAGGTTGTGGGTGAAGCCTACTAGTAGAGCACTTGCCTAGCATGCATGAGGCCTGGGTTTGATCCCTAGCACCATAAAAGAAAAAGGAAAAACAGAGAATTCAAACAAGAAATAATTATAGGAAACTGAACTAATAAATTTATGGGATATTTATACATATGATATATGAAGATATATATTTTTCTCCCTCTTTGGCTCCTCCTAAATTCAAAACCTATTTATGAGTATTTTTATTTTTATGGCACCATAAAGATTTGAATAAACTGAACGAGAATTTGCTCTTTCTAACAGGCTACAACTGGAAACACTAGCATATTTATACAGAATGTCTGGCTTCCAGGACTCCAGCCTTACAGTTAGAGAATCAAAGTCATCCCTCCTGCCCAGCACACAGGCTCAGCCAGAAACAAAAGAGTGTCCATCATATGTCCCCTAAGCAACTCCCATACCTCAGCCAGTGCATGGTTCAGACAGGCATTCTCCGTGAGGGCCTGAAACCAGTGTCTCCTTCCCAAGTTGAAGTCTTGGTTCCTGGATTCTGAGCAATGTGTGGGACCTGGGCAGAAGGTATGAGCCAGTGCTCTGTGCTGCTGAGGACAGGTGGGAGGGGACTTTGCAGTGTAGAGTGGTGGCCCAGTGTCAGGCAGCCCAGGAACAGTGAGGCTCAGAGACAAGTGTCCTGCCAGCTAGAGGAAGGCAGTGCTGTGACCTGGAGCAGGATTCAGAGGGTATGCAGGCCACAGCCCCACCCAGCTGAGGTAGCAGCTGGGGAAGACAGTAACTCAAGAAACCAAAATATGTAGTTTGTGGGACAGGCCCATGTGCCTCTACCTACCAAGGACACAAGGACTTCTGGCCAGCCCTGAAGCCCCCAGCTGCTCAGAATGAAGGACGGTCCCACATGCACAGCTCTGGTCTTGGCCAGCCCATCCTGGGTGCCAGGCGCAGCCAGGCCAGAGGTAAGGAGGAGAGGAGAGTGCCAGGAGGCCAGCAGAGCCCAAGATTCCCCGTTCTCAGCCAGCATTACCAGGCTGGCCAGGGGCAAACCTAGCACCATTGCGGGGAAGGGATCAGAGCAGAATAGAGGCCAGTTCTTGGTTTCTGGGTATCAGGTGTGAGGTCTAGGGTGCAGAGGAGCCTCCCATTCTTGAGCAGGAGCAGACTGGCCATAGGCAGGCTAGCAGGACCCGCAGCAGAGGCACCTCTGGCCAGGGACCTTGCAGTGCATTCATGCCAGGTGGAGTCAGTCAGCTCCCATGCCACTCACCTTCTACCACACTAAGAGCCTAGCCTAGGCTCCTCATGGCCCCCACCCCAGGCCTCTGCTCTCTGCTCTCCTGACAGTAGCAGATCCTCCCAGTCAGGCTGAACCCACCTCACCACCACCAATCCCCAAGTCTTGGGCCCTACATTCCATCACACACTATCCCCAGGGGCCCAAGGCCACAGAAACTCAAAGGTGGCTCTGGGCACCTACACTCTGCCCACAAGCAGATGGGCACCACTTGACTCCTAGGTGGTGGTCCCACCCAAACTATCTGTACACCTGCTGGACAGGGGCAGTCAGTAGAGGGTCACCCAGAGTGCACACAGCTGGCACAATAGGAACACACAGTGGAGAGAGATACCCAGGGTGGTCAGGGCTGGCAGTAATAGGGACCCTCAGGGTGGATGGGATCAATGGGTTTGGGGACACCCCAGGTAGATGGGGTTAGCGGGGATGAGTGGCTATAGCCCAGGAGACATGGCAGGTCAGGAGCGAGAGGTTGAGTGCACACGTGCCTGTGGGCACCAAGCAGGCCATCCCCACAGCTGGACCACATGTGAAGGCACCTGGAGGCTCCACCTTCTCTGTGTCCCACCAAGTGTTTGTCTGGAAACTTTGTGCTCTCATGCAGGGCAAGCAGAACTGAGGAGTGGGGCAGAGCAAGGTGTCCATGAGCAAGGACTCTGTCCCCTGAGCCTTCATGGGACCCCTGCACCAGGGGCCTGGGTGAGTGGGATGGGAATGGGCAGAGGTGATGTCAGGCATCTGACACACAGACCCTGGCTCCAGAACAGTCACCAGGAACTGCCATCTGGGGCCTCACCTGGGAAGATGCTATGGCCACCTTTGTGCTGCTCAGGCTGTGGTCCCAGGAAGAGTGGTAGACGGGGCACTCAGGGTAGGAGGGCTCCTCCAAGATGGCCTCAACCCTGAGCCAAGGCCACACACCTCAAAGGCAGGGGCCCTGCAGGGGGCACAGCCTCCTGGCCTCAGGGGCCCTGGTGGGCAGTAATGGGAGGGATCCAGGCCAAGGGCAGGGTCACCTGGTGTCATGGCCAGGCGCAGCAAGGCAGGACCCCAGAAGCCCAGCACAGTGGACAGCACAGACCTCTGGTCCACTGCTATCAACATCCTGGATCCCAACCCAAGTGGTCCTGCCTGCAGGACACGAGCTCTCCTGGAGGACACTGCAGCCCTGGTGTCCCTCATTGCTGGAGACCATAGGGACAGAGCTTCTGATCACCCCACCACCACCAGGGCTGAGACCACATCTGTACCCTCCCTTCTCTCTGGGGTGCTGAAGTCTGGCTACAACTTACTCACCTGAGACCACCCTCCCACACACTGAGTTCTGCAATGTGAGGTCTCACACTGCAGGGCTTAGTCTGGAGATGAAATCGTAATCCACACACAAAGGCAGCTCCTGCCTCCTCAACGCAGGCCACCCTCACCCTCCACAAGGCTCACCCTGGACAAAACCTGTTCCTCTCTGCTAACTGGGACCACAGGACTTGCCAACACCTGGGGCTAGAGCTTCTGATGCTGGGGACCCCACCCCACATCACAGCAAGGTCCAGACACCCACATCCACAGCTCCCAGGGGTTGTCTGTGAGGTAAGGCAGGGACTCCCAGTGTTTTCCAGGTGGTCTCTATCCTTGGGACCTTTACTGTGTATCACCAAAAGGTCCAGAGAGACAAGTCCTCCAATCAAAACGTGGTTTTGTCATTTTCCCAATGAGTCTAACAGGATTTTCTCAATGTGTGAAAACTAACATCCTCCCTGTCACAGGTGAGCTACAGTTAATATCAAAGTGGCGGCGAGCACCAGGTTCCCTGTCCCGCTCGGCCATACCTGCCAGGCTACATTTCACTGCATGTTACGGATATCACTGACTTCATGATGCAACTTCAGCACAAAAAAGTGGGAGGGGTCCTGGAAGTGCCCCTCCCCAGCCATGGGTGACAGAAGTGAGCCAGTAAGTGGTAGGGACAGCAGAGGAGATGGCAGCCGCTTGGGCCCATGAGCTCCAAGAATCTGTGCCATGGTCAGCAGGGCAAGGGCATGGTGCTTTCAAACCCACATGCAGGCCCCACACCAGGCTCTTGGGAGGTCCTGCTTCCCAGGGTCTAGCACACTAAGACAGGACTCATCCTCTATCCTAAGCAGGAGCCCACATCGGGCATCAGCATCCTCCCAGGGCCCCAGGACTCACCCAACTGTCATGGCAGGTGACAGACCACAACAGTGTGGAGACCATGGCTGAGGACAAATTTAAGAATAGAGGGCCCCACCCAGAGCTGGCTGGACAAGGGGTTGTGCAGGTAACATTGGTCTGAAAACCCCACAAGCTGTCCCTGGCTATGCTGCCCATGCTCTGCCCACCCAGGACTGTGGCCAGGGCAGAGCTAGCAGAGAAGAGGGGAAGGGAACATCTCCCCCAAGGGAGTCAGAACTGAGAGCATCCACAGCCAACCTTTAAGCACATGCACGTAGCCAGACTTTGTGTCAGGGCCTGTCCCGTGCACACATGCCATAGGGCTGCTGCAGAAATCTGGTCAGGGACAGGGGACAGTAGCTGGGCCCACAGAGAACTGAGCCAGCTCCAGGCTGGCAAAGTGGAGGGGCCCCACGATCTAGCAGCACAGGGGCTTAAAACTGACCCCTGACCTACAACCTATGCCCTGACACTGCTAGAGCATTGAGCACTCCAGGAAAACACTCACCTCCAGGGCCTGGGGATTTAGCTCAGTGGCACAGCGCCTGCCTGGCAAGCACAAGGTCGTGAGTTCGATTCCCAGTACCAGAAAAAAACCACTATCCTCCATCAGGACATGGCCCACCCATAGCCAGAGGACACTAGCAGCAGGTGGCCTCAAGGGATGGCAGGTAAAGCCTCAGGTCCCCCTGCAGGCCACTGTGAGGGCCACACAAGCCACCCTACCAGCTGGCCTCTGCCATTCCGCCACCAGGAACTTAACTCTGAGGGGACAGGGATGGGGACAGCCAGTCCTGACAGCACCACTGACCCCTAACACTGGTGTATTGGGAATATGACAGCAGGTGCCTCACAGCTCCCCTCGGCGAGTATCCAGTCACAGGAACATAGAGAGGGTTGTGGCTGAGTCACCTTTACTGCAAATTCATCATAGAGTATGTGCCACCTCCCTGATGGCAGGGCTACAAGGCAACCAGGCACCTCAGTAAGGCTCCTAGGCCATGGCTGAAGAGGGGCAGGGTGTTCATCCCCTCCTAAAGAACCCATGACAACCACACCAGGCCACCAGACCTGGCCATCCTGCTGGGCAGGTCTTCCAGAAAAGGGGAGATGTGCACACCTGTCCCTAGGGCTCAGACCTGACCATGGTCACCCGCCCTGTGGCACAAGACACAGGGAACTGTGGCAGGGGCTCAGCTCATCCACATCAGCAGAGCTGCCTGTGGATGCTCCCAGGAGCCGTAGCCTTGCCCCACAAAGTTGGCAGAGGCTAGTCAGGCATGGGCGGGCAGTGTCTTATAGGGGTTCAGGAGGCCCCGGGGATCCAGCAGGGCCTTGAGCTGCCACATGAGCTGCATAGCGGTGGGTGGCTTGCTGTAGCCCAGGACATCCTTCTTCTTGAAGCCCAAGCCATGCTCAGCACTCACGCTGCCCTGCTGCGTGGCCGTCCAGGTGTACACGTAGGGCTCCAGGGCGGCTAGCAGCGCTGCACTGAAGGCCTCTGCTGTCACGTTCAGGTGCAGGTTGCCGTCCCCTGGGAGCAAGGGTGAGTGATCAAGCTGTGCAGGCTGACACCCTGCCAGGGATCTCCAGAACCCTCATTCAGCCCCATGCAGATGTGGGCACCTGTGCTGCCCAACTTCTCTCTGCAATGATGTAGGCACCAGGCTCCTGCCCCACACATGCCCCCACCCCAGTCACTGTACTCTTAGTTTCTATAGCTTCTTCCATGTCCTCCCCTCACACCCTTGGAGGTCCTGCTCCCCCACTGTCACCCCCAGGAGCCCATCCCAGGGCTCCACCCCAACGCTGGAAACCATCCAAGTGGCCACCCTGACCTGCTGGAGCCCCACCCTGCCTGTGACAGCCATGGGCTACATCTGGACCTGTATCACGGAGCCCAGTCAGCCCCTCATCCTACTACCCTCCTGTCCAGGTCCCAGCACTGAGACCCCAGGGCTGCAGTCATGGCAGGGGGACCCACACAGATAGGGATGTGGCACAGAAGTGGGCTCAGTAGGAGACAAGGAGGAACACAGGCACACAGAGTGGTGGCCCAGCACCCCACAGCCCCTGCACAGCCAGGTTCAGGACCCCACCTGCCTATCTACCCTGGGAAGTGAGAGGTCCAAGGAACTCACTGCCCCCAACAAAGGAAGGACCACAGTGGATTCCTGAGGACACCCGATGACACAGAAGACACAGGGTGAGTTGTATCGGCAGGGGTGTCCCCACCACCAGCACCCTGGAGATGCAGTTGGCCTCTGGCCTCTGGCCTGTTCTGTTGCTTGAAATCAAAGCCACGAGAGGCACTGCATCATCCGAGTCTGTGTACACACTAACAACTCCTGCTCACATGTCTTCCGTAGGGTCCCAACTAGGTACCATGGTAGGGATAGAATGGCCTCATCTCCCCAACAGGAGCAAACTGAGGGCAGCACCAGTGTGGGTAACATAATGCTAAAAGCCACTGATCAAGCACCCAAAGGGTGGCTGGAGACAGCTAGTGTGGACAGAACCGACTCTCACCAAAGCTGCACATCAAGGGCCACCAAGCAGCCAAACACAGGCTTGCAGCCAAATGCACAAGACCACAGCGTCCCAGAGACCTTGAGCTGAGCAAGGGATGACTACCCGCCCCACCTGGCTTTAAATAATCCCCACAGATAAAAAAATTGAACAAATATGAGTTTACATCACAAATCACACACATAAGAAAACAGTCAGATCCGCTAAGACTTCAGATGCTGTGATTCCTGACACAGAACCTATGTATCAAATCACAGAAGAGAGAGATACAACAGCATCACCAAGACAGGCCACCAACATTTTCTAAATGTCCTAATCAACCTTCTGGAAATTAAAACTGAATTCAGTGACAGTGACACTCTGTGAATAGGTTGAACTGTTTGCATTACACACATTTACAGGAAACTGAGATACGCACACAGGGAGGAAGAGGCTCAGCTCAGTGAGCAAGAAGAGGTCCCTTCTGTCCCTCTTAGACAGAAGCTTTCTTTCTCTCAATAAATTCTTCCTACTCTTAACCTCCATTGTTCCTACAATTCATTCAATATTAGAGAACACAAACTCGGTGTTTTGGACCTCTAGCAGGTTGGGAGTTTCATTCCTATATCATTTGGAGATCTTCCACCAACATAATTGGACAGAGGACCAACTCAGGAAGGACCATACACCATCAACCTGTCAGCTCCATCAGCTGTCAAGGTAGTAGCCCTGGTCTCCTGGATATACCACACCAAACTCAAGTCCTGGGAACCAGAGACTGTCACTGAGTGTGAGAAACCATCACTGGGGGCCAGAGATATAGCTCAGCGGCACAAGCACCTGCCTGGCAAGCACAAGGTCCTGAGTTTGATTCCCGGTACCAAAAAAAAAAAAAAAAAAAAAAGGGAGAGAAACCATCATTGGAATACTCCTGTGAACACATAGAAGACTTCTTGTTCAAGAAAAAAACAAAGTCTTCAGATAGGTAATCTAAGATATTACTCTTAGCCCTTTTACTGATCACTTTACCACTTAAGGGAGAATGCAATTCCCTTCTAAGGTGGGCACAAGAATATGCAGTCATTACAACAAACATGTTGCTGGACATGTGGCCTGCTCCCCTTGTCAAGTACATCTGGACTTCATTTGTGGGTAGTCCCACTCCAAAGAGATAACTGGAATAAACTACAAGACTATATGGGTGAATTATGAAAGAGTTCAATGGTTCATAGTTTAGCCCACCATTACAAGGTAACTAAATAAACTGTACTCCTAATCCTGGACATAATAGAATTTTTTTTAACAATGCCACTGAAGCCTCTTTAAAGGCTCAAAAAAGGACCTCTATGAAATAAAACTAAGGGTCCTATCCTGAGGCCCAACAACCATAGATATCAAGAGGCCTATTTTCAGATATGGGATAATTATTTATGGTTAACTGCCACTATAGGACATCTTAACAGAAAGGCCCCCTTACATTGGGAACAGAAAAATCACTCATATTTTCATTGGCCTAACTCTACTAAATACTTGGGATGGACACTCCCTGAACAATGTATACACACAATAACTTCACAGGCTGAAGACTGGTTTGCAACAAACTGGTTTAATCACCCTGGAATTAGATGGGAAGGCCCCAGTAGCACTCTCTGGTCCTGTGGAACCAATTTGTGGCCCTGGCTACCACCTGGATGGATAGGAAGATGCACAATGCACACTGGGATTTGCATGGTTACAAGGCAGAAGTATTGACAAACCTGCAAACTTGCCCTCCCTATGGCATCGATGGTCTAGAAGACTGTTTCACTGGTATGATCATTTGGCCTTCTATCTTTATCTCTTCCCTAGGGTTAGAGGATGTCATGCAACACACTGAGGCCTTAATGAACTATACTCAGTGGGCCTTAAATGACACTGCAGCTGGTCTCTCTCTACTGAATGAAGTAAAATTAAAGGGGCAAGCCATCCTCCAAAATCGAATGGCATTAGATATTCTAACCAGCAGCATGGGTGGGTATTTGTACAATTATAAAAGCTGAATGTTATGTGTATATTCCTGATCCTTCTGCTAATATCTCTAGCTGTTCAATATATTAGATGACAAGTTAATGACATGTCAGATTCTGAAATCCCCTGGACCTTCTCCTTATCCTCTTTATGGAAAACTATTACTGGTTCCTCATGGTGGAAAATTTTGTTGGTTATATAAATAATTATCCTGTCGATTTTATTATTTGGCCCATGCATACTAAATTGTTTCTGTCCAGACTTAAAAGCTATATATCTACCCAAGACAAGAACACCTGGTGCCTATCGAGAGCCTTTAGACAGACCCTCTGTGAGGTATCTCTAACTGCCAATCACAACTACAACCCTCTTCAGCTGGAAGCAGCCAGATTAGTCTTGAACCCCTGCCCCCTCAGGGCAGTTAGGGATATACTTCTTTAGAGGGGGAATAGTACAGGTAGCTACCTATACTATTTCTACCTATAGATAGAAATATTGTAGGCATTCAGACACAGCTGGACCTTAAGGGGTCAGTGCAGAAGACAACTGTGGCTGGAGGAATATTCACTGAAGGTCAGGCTTGAAGAAAAAGAACTATTCACCCATATACTTCCCCTAGGGATGTGCAGCAGTGATTGATATTCTAGACAGACATCAATCACCTTGGAGAAGAGGACCAAACCTCCTTAACCTACGCTTTCCAGGAAAGTCCTTGTCTGCCCATGTGCTTGCTACGTGACTTGTTTCCCCCTTTCATTCCCATTTAATCACTATTACCCAAGCAATTGCATTTGTTGTGTACTTATTGGTTGACCATAGTTTTGTCCCTCCTCACATACATCCTAGAATTTGCCACTGGATCAATATTACCTAAGTGACTATACTTGTAATCTTATTGACTGATTATAGTTCTTACCTTAAGCCTGCCTCACCTTGTGGCTTTGCTCAATAAAACACCCTTGAGAAGTGCAGTTGGTGGACAACCCACTTTCTGGGTCCCATTCTGTCCCTCTCAGACAGAAGCTTTCTTTCAATAAATTCTTCCTACTCTTAAAAAAAAAGGAAAAAAAAGAGAAAATAAATCTAAAAATAGGAAAGGAGCCAGGTATGGTGGCACACACCTGCAATCCCAGCACTTGGGAGGCTAAGGCAGGAGGATCACTGTGAGTTCAAGGCCAGCCTGACCTACATAGTGAATTCAAAGTCAGGCCAAACTACACAGCAAGACAGGAGAGGAGGAGAGGAGAGCAGAGGAGAGTAGAGGAGAGGAGAGGAGAGGAGAGGAGAGGAGAGGAGAGGAGAGGAGAGGAGAGGAGAGGAGAGGAGAGGAGAGGAGAGGAGAGGAGAGGAGAGGAGAGGAGAGGGGAGGGGAGGAGAGGAGAGGGGAGGGGAGGGGAGGGGAGGGGAGGGGAGGGAAGGGAAGGGAAGGGAAGGGAAGGGAAGGGAAAGGAGGGAGGGAAAAGAAAGAGAGAGAGGAAAGAAGGAAAAAGGAAGGAAAGGAGGAAGAGAAGTAACCAAATTTTAAAAAAATAAATAGGCTCCACGGCCCTCTGCTAAGGAATCCAGGAACCCCATACCTCTGGAGGGTACAGTGGGGTGTGGGCAAGGGCAGAGGGAGTGGGCAAAGCCACTAGTTGGTGCTTGAAATCTGGTGCTAAGGAGCAGCTTCGGGAGTGGGTCTGGCCCTTGTCAAGAACCAGGAATCAACCCTGGCCCTCACCCGGCAAGCCAGTGCACCAAGGCGAGCAGTGCAACTTTGTGGAGTTCAGAATGGAAGGGAGATAACTGCACCTAACAAGCACTGAGCCCTACTGTTTCCAAACAGATGCAGAACCATAGTTTTGGAAGTTGAACCCACAGTCTCACATGTCAGAAAAGATGGGGACTTCTGGAAAGATAGTGGGGTGGTAAACAGCAGAAAAAGAGCCTAAGACTTGCCATCCAGACACTGGAATATAGCAATTCAAGGAAGAAAAGAAGGAGGGAAGTGGGTCCCCTGGACCCAGGAAGGATTTGAAAGGAGAACTGAAGCCCACAGGGAGAGCAAAGAGAGAAACTTCAAGGAAGAACAAGGAGGTAGGCAGCAGAGGTTTCTGCCTGAGTCAGGACTCACTGCATGGGAGGACTGGTTCAAACCTGCAGACACAAGGTGACTGCTGGCAATCCCAGAGGCCTCCAGGGAGAGATGCAGCAGTGGAAGGGAACAGAGGACATGAAGGACTGCACTAGCTGGGACTGTTCTTCCTGGTATTACAAAACTGAGATGGCCTAAGGGTCATAGAAAATACTGTGGGCCAGTGCCAAAGAACCAAGAGCTGGGCTGATCAGGCAGCAACTTCTGATTGCCAACAAACTGAAGAGGTAGGATCTTGCAATAGAGTCAATACCCAAAAGCCAGTTACACCTGGAAGACACCTATGAGAAGTAGTAATTTCCTAAGAGTTCTAAATACTAGCAAAAAAGCAACTCACCGTAGGTACTTTACAAGCATCAACCCGGGAATTAAACTAAAAAAAAAGAAAAAAAAAGAAAATGAGAAGACACTTAAACAAGATGCCACCCCAGACATGCAGTTCACCAAAGGCAAAACCAGGGGGCAGTGATGTGGGGCAACCTGAAAGTTACACACCTGACTAAAGTGGTAACAACAAAATAAAGGAATGAGGCTCTAGAAAAAAATCAAGTCAGAAATAATTTCTCAGATAACTACAGAGATGGTGACCACAATGAAAACCATGCTTAGTGACTCAAGAGCAGATACAGATTAAAAAAAAAAATAGAGGAGCTTAAGAAAATGATGTAAACTATGAATGCCCAACATAGGAAATAAATGGAATCCATGAAATAGACTCAAACAGATATCCAGGAGATTAAAAATTCTACTGAAAGGATATGGAGCAGAATCAATCAGTGTGAGGACAAAATATCAGATCTAGAAGACACATTTCTGATTAGTGACCACAAAAACAAAGCTTTCTAAAAAGTAGCTAGGGACTACCAAAAAACATCAATCCAACAGCTGACAGATGATGCAAAGAAGATAACATAAGATTGATTGGAGTCAATGAAAAAACAGGATAGTGCAAACAACATAATAAGTCTGTTTACAGAAGTAATGACAGAAAACTCCCACGCGTGGAAAAAGAATCTGACATACATTAAGTGAGGCATATAGAACTTCAATTAGCCATGATTAAAAACAATCCACACCAAGGAATTTAATAGTCAAGATTCCACAAATTCAGCACAAAAACAGAATAGTAAATGCTGTTACAGAAAAGAAACAACTCAAAAGAAAAAAAACAAAGAAATAGATCATGTATAAAGGAAAGCCCATCAGAGCCACAGCTGACTTCTCAACATAAACTCTCAAGTCAGGGAGAGCTTGGATTGCAAGACCTAAAGGAAAAACAACCTCCACTCAAACTGATGTACCCCACAAAACTATCTTACAAAATTGATGAAGAAATAAGATACTTCCATGACAAAGAACACCTGAGGAAATGCATGAACACCAAATCAGCACCCCAAAATGTTCTGAAGGACATTCTAGAAAGAGGTAACAAGGAATCCATGAACCCCAACAGAAGAAATGCACCAGACAAAGTAAACAAACAGAGGGTGGGGGAAAGAACCAAGTACAGGAAAACAACATGACAAGAATAAGTCAACACATAACAGTTATGACCATCAATGTTAATGGCCTCACTTCACCAATCAAAGAAACAGACTGGCAGAATGGATCAAGAAGCAAGGTCTATGTGCATACAAGAAACACATTTAATTCAAAAAGAAATTCACAGATTGGAAGCCAAAGGATGTAAAACAATACACCATGTGACAGAAACCCAGAAAAAAGCAGGGATAGCTATTCTATTTGCAGACAAAGTGAATTTGAAGCCAAGACTGATTAAGAGAGATAAAGAAGGTTACTACATCCTTGTAAAGGGAACGATACAACAGGAAAAGATAACAATCATAAATACATATGCAACAAATACCAGTAATATACCAACAAATACAGTGCACTCAACTATATAAAACAAATACTAACAGACATGACAAATCAAGTAAGCACTAATACATTTGTATTGGGGGATCTCAATACCCCACTGTCACAAATAGATCAGCTAGACAAAATATCAACAATGAAATATAAGAACTGAACTAAACGTTTGAGTAAATGGACTTAGTAAATGTGTACAGTGTCCCACCCCACAACATCAGAATACATATTCTTCTCAGTTACACAAAGGATATTCTCCAAAACAGACCATATACTAGCTCATAGAACATGCTGAAGTAAATGCAAAGGAAATTATTCCATGCATATTATCAGACCATAGTGCAATGAAATTGGAAATCAATGGTAAAAGAAACCACAAGAACTTCATAAACATATGGAAATTAAATAGCACTCTCCTACATAACCAGTGCGTCACAGATGAAATTAAAGAAGAAATTAAACAGTTTCTACAATTAAATGATACTGACAATACAACATACCAGAACTTATGGGACACAACAAAAGCAGTCCTATAAGGGAAAGTTACAGTAATGAATACTCTTATCAGGAAAACAGAGCAAGCTCAAATAAACTTAATATTGAACCTCAAACTTCTAGAAAAGGAAGAGCAAGCCAAGCCCAAAGCTCATACAAGAATGGAAATTATAAAGATCAAAGCAAAAATTAGTGCACTTGGGACTAAGAAAATAATACAAAGAATCAATGAATTGAAAAGTTTGGTTCTTTAAATAAAATGGACAAACCCTTAGCTAAACTTGTCATAACTGGGGTATAGCTCAGCGGTACAGTACCTGCCTGTCAAGTGCAAGGTCCTGAGTTCAATTCCCAACACCAAAAAGGAAGCAAAAGAAAGAAAGAAAAGAGAAGAGAAGAGAAGAGAAGAGAAGAGAAGAGAAGAGAAGAGAAGAGAAGAAGAAAAGAAAAGAGAAGAGAAGAGAAGAGAAGAGAAGAGAAGAGAAGAAAAGAAAAGAAAAGAAAAGAAAAGAAAAGAAAAGAAAAGAAAA